GAGGCTTAATTTGTAGCCCTGCTTTCTTGTACAGCTTGGCACATGCTAGAGTAAACTTACAAGCTAAAGCCTTCATGTTTGCCTGAAAGCCGTGATTCCTAATTCATTGGCACGTTTTTGATAGTGATGCAGTGGACAAGCCACTGCGTCCCATGGCAAATCGATTTTATGGGTGTTTTTGTTTGGGCTCTGGCCCCGTTTTTTGTGTTGTTTTGGTGTTTTGCCGTTTGCTTCGCTGTTTCCTCTGGCGAAACGCAAGTCTGGCTGGGGGATTTGCGGGTCGTCGTGTTTGGTTGGCTTCTGTTTTTTTTTGTGTGTTGTTTTAATCGATTTGCCGCCTCAATGGACTTGATATGTCCTTGTACAAATGTCTTTCCTGCTTATGCTCATGTAAGGACCGAGCCTTTAGCGCGACATCGGCCACACCCGAGGAAAAAAAAAATGGGGGAAGAGTTTCGATTTCATGACTCCAACAGATTCCGTAAGAAGGCTAGAGATGCAAAACTTCGGTTTTACCACAGTTTTGTGCCAGTTTTGATGTTTTTAGCTGCGGAGTCTTGCCGGAGTCGGGCGGAGTCGGTACACCTGCTGAAACCCTATTTACAATGGGGAAAGGGTTGAAAGAGTTCCAACTTTGTGACTCCAGACGACTCCGCAAGAAATCGCAAGATGCGCAAGATGATGTCACTGAACTGTTTGATTTGTTTGATGCCCATTTTTGGGCTTGGAAAGGTATATAGAATTTGGACTCCCAAAGGCGGTCCTCTCCAGTATCAGCAAAAAATACACTTTCTAGGCACCAACCCACCAATCCAGATCCAGGAAGTGTGTCAACGACATCTGTCCAAAACAAACAGTCACCTGCACCAAATGCAAGCAACCAAAACAATCAGTCCACGCAGACAGTCAAGAAATTCAGTAGCCCCAAACGAACGCGAACAAGACATTCAGGATCCAAAAAACTAGTAGAAACATGGCGGCCATAAAGGGACCTCGACTGTAATGTCGGGGTGTTCTAAAGTGTTTGGGCGGTTCCCGGATTAGGGGCTCAAAATCATGGTTTCCCTCCAACCACATCGGTGTTCCTTAGGAGTAGTCCCGTGAGCTCCATGTTCCTTGGCCGCATCTTTCTCGTCCAGCTTCTTCTTCTGATTCTTTCCTGGCTTTGGGTTGCGCCTTGGGCGTACCCCCATAGTAGCAAGCATGCTGTTGATTTTCCCATGTGTGAGACTTGACTGTGTATCTTCTGCAAGTAAAACATGTCTTGACTATATGCTCTCTGTTTGAGCAATTTTGCCCGCCCAAGTTTCCTTTCCTTCTTTGGTTGAAGTTGTTAGTTTGTTGCACAATTCAATCCGATCGCCCAGCAGACCGCTGAATGAAGATCATGTAGACCTTGTTTGCGTCTCAGTACAACTTTGGGGCCCCGGATTGCATTTTGGTGTCCTGATTTGGGTTATATTTTGATCCTTGTTGGGTTCCATTTTTGGGCCCTGTTTTGGGGCCCTTGATTTTGTTTGCAATTGTAGGGGCCCGAAACAGTGCCCAACAATGGAATCCGAAACAGGGACCAAAATATGATCGAAATCAGGACCCCAAAATGCAATCCGGGGCCCCAAATTCGTACTGAGACGTAAACAAGGTCTACATGATCTTCATTCAGCGGTCTGCTGGGCGATCGGATTGAATTGTGCAACAAACTAACAACTTCAACCAAAGAAGGAAAGGAAACTTGGGCGGGCAAAATTGCTCAAACAGAGAGCATATAGTCAAGACATGGGTTACTTGCAGAAGATGCACAGTCAAGTCTCACACATGGGAAAATCAACAGCATGCTTGCTACTATGGGGGTACGCCCATGCGTCGCCGCAAAATGCCTGTTTTGAGGCCCTGTTTTTGGAACCTCATTTTGCTCAATCTTGCGGCCGCTTCTTGTGCTACTTTATTGCCTCCTTGGTTGGCGGACTTCGCTGTAACGCCTCAAGGTTGCTGCGCATGTGTTGGTCAAGTCGTGGTTTGCCGCGCCGCTTCCTTGCACCTTTCAATGCTTCGTCAGAAAGTGAAAAACGCCCATAGAAAACATTGTGTGCTGGCTCCCAATCCAACAGTTTACTTGGTTTCTGTGCGCCTTCTAGTGTAGTTTCGGTTGCGAGCGGTTGGTGGGTTGCTGCAGTAGGTTTTGTTGTTGCCTGCTGTCTTGCAGCGATATTGCTCATGTGGCTCTTGGAACACACATCAGGAGAAGATTGCAACAATGGTGATGGTGGTGTCAACACTGCTGATGGTCCATCATCTGAGATTCCTTCAGATACTTTTGGACCTGCTTTGAACGAGACTGGTCATCAAGATGAAAACATTGGCAGTGCAGCACATAAAGGTGATGAAGAAGCTAGTGAGGATGATTGGTTGGAGCGAGAAGAGTCAGCTGAAGATTGACACACACGGTATGCAAATTCTCTAATGGAAGAAGTCAGTGATCCTGAAGGATGGATGGAAATGCATTACCCAGAACCAGAAGATTTGGGAAACATGCGTGATCGATTGCGTGAGTGCCACAATTTCTGGTCAGATGAATATCAAGAGGCAATTGATCGTGGAGACCATGAACATGCAGAACATGCAACCAGAGAGATGGAGCATTTAGATAACCTCATGACCGTGGTATGAGTGGACTCTGAGGTGGCCAGCAACAACTGCTGAATTCATACGTACAGGGGCAAAAGCCAAAACTAAGAATGTGGTGAGCCCTCAAATGAACGCTCACCAAGGCGGGGTGTAAATGTGTAGTAGTCAGACTAACCCTGTGCATGCATGTCCATAGCAGTTGGAACGGCACAGAAAAGAATAGCATGGCCACTTCCTGCATGACTAAGGATGACATGCGCAAATCGAGAATGCCGGAAACAGTGGTTCAGAAGCATAGAGGAAAAGGAACTGGTGAGCTCTGCATCCATCTTTGAGATTTGAGCAGAAGGTATGGGATGATTTTGTTGGATGGCTAGAGGTGGTATTGGGGGCCGACGTGATTCGCAGTCTTTGGACCACGCCCGTGCTAATGGGCTACGCGCTGACTGCATACGGGCGGCATTTGTTTGGAGCTGGAAAGAGTTTGTCACACTTTAGACATTTGGTAGTTTTTGCACAACGTGGGTTCTCTGGATTGCGTGGGCATCTTCAGCTGGGTGGGCAGGTTATCAATCGATGGGAAGAATTGGAGCCTGTAGAGCACCGTGGACCTGTTACAGTATCTCTAGTTCGAGCTATGGCCCTTTTGGCAGTCTCTTGGAATTTTGTCTTACCCTTGTGATTTAGCTCATGAAGGTGGGCCTTGTTATTTACGAATTTCAAAGCCCGGCTGGCCGTAGAGGTATGGGTCGTGTGCAACACGCAAAGATTTTTGATGAACAAGTGACGCAATATTTGGATTCTGTGTTTGGGGACCTGCAGCCATCATTGCCTTTTTTCCCAGGTGGCCCATCAGTTTTCATGTCACGATGGAGTCGGTTGTTAGCGGCTTTGCAGATTCCAATGCATTACACCAGCCGGATTGCGAGCTGGTGGCACTGTAGAGCTTTACAGAAGAGGTACCCCCATTTTAGATATCGTCTGGTCTCTTCGGTTGAATAATGTGGAAACGTTACAACACTATTTGCAAGAAATTTCCATCCAGGTCACTATGGTTGATATGCCTTTTCAAGAAAAAACTTATCCAATCTTTGTCCATTTTATTTCCCTATTTTATTACCATTCCTGGCATCAGTGCGCGCAGCTAACCGGTGCTGGTCTTTTGCATGAGTGGATGTGGCTCTCTGGTACAGCACAAGTGGTGTGAATGATGGATAGCCTGAACTTTCATTGAGGTTTGTGCAGCTTTGCTGTTTCTGTATTTCTGCGCTTAGGCAACCCTGATGATTTTTTTTCTGCAGTTGATTTTACACCAATGTGATTGCACCACCTCTTTGAGCAGAACTTTCATTGAGGTTTGTGCAGCTTTGCTATTTCTGCATTTAGGCGACCGTGAAGATTTTTTTCTGCAGCTGATTTTGCACCAACGTGCTCGCAGCACCACTTTGAGCAGATGTTTCGCAGCTGAAACTTGCTTTCAATTTGGCTTGGCGCGGTTCTTTTTGTTCTTGCGCCTGTGGCGCAATATTGGCTGTTTCTTCAGCTTCCATCTCAAATTGTGTTGCCCAGATCGCTTGAGTCGACTCTATCACAGACATTAGACAGCTAGCAGCGCCAAAAGAAAAGGACGAGTGCAGAGAGGGTTCACAAGACATGTTTTTGTTTTATATTTTCAGTGGTTTGAATTTGAAATCTGTTTGCAAATCATGTCGGGCATGTTTTGAAATATTTCGATGGACGTCTACGATGTTTCACAATTCCAACTCATGTCGCCGTTTGATCTGTTCTTGTCGATGCATGTGTGGGACGCAACCTTGGATGCATTTGAAATTGATGAACATAGGAACTGCAATTTTCAATATTTTGTTTGACATAATGTTTGTCAATAGTTGAATAGACCTATGTCAGTTGTGATGGTGATGGGAGGAAACACCGCGTTTCACACGCCATGCTATTCGTGGTGTGATGGCCGGTTTTTGTTTGTGGATGCTTTGCAGATCAAATTTGCGATTGACATGGAGAACATGACAGCAATCAAAATTGTCTCATGACATATATGGCATCCCATCAGGGAAAAAACAAATGGCCTGATCAAACAAATCAATTGGTAGCATCCCAATTCATCTGATTAAAAAATAAAATCAAAATTCAAAAATCCCGAAATAACCCGCCAAGGGCTGGAACTATGCGAGCATAGTGCAGTACAATACAGCACAATGTTCAAAACAATTTCACGTTCATTGTTGGAATGGATCAAAACCATCCGAACGACGAAATTGTTCTTCTGCAAATATCAAATTTTCATCCATTATCTGGGTGTATTTCAGTTTTGACAGCCAAAACAATTCATTTTATTCTATTCACGACATTTGGACATGACAGTGGACACCGGCTTTGGAGATGGAGATTTGGATTTGGAACACGCGATTCAAAAGTGCCAACCTCGGCATGACAAGGGCACGACATGTGGCGGTTCGAAATTTGGGACATGAAGGGATACAAAAGGCAACAACCCCAAAAATGACAAGTTTATTGGAAATCAAATTGCCCGAGATTGTTCTAGCCCAATTTGGACCGTTGTGAAGGCTGAAACCTGTCGGAGATGCTGCGCCAGAGATTCTCCCAGAAAAACACCTGAAATTGGCTTGCCTGAACTTCAGTTTCAACTGGTTTCAGCGGTGAAATTTGATGATTTTTTCTTTCGCATGCAACAGTGCTTTGTCTCATTATTCCAAGGTCAACAGTTGAAAAGCATTCTTATCGAGGACTCCTAGTATTCTGGTACTTTGTGCCTCATACGTGCGGAGTCTTGCGCAATTGTCGTAGGAAAGCAATGTACAGCCAGTGCAGTTGCCTGTGGTGCGTCTTGACCGCAATGATTTCACTTGCCATGAATGCGAGGTGACGAAGTGAGGAGGTTGTGGATTGTTGGGAGCAGAGAACTCATCAACAAGATACCAGAAACCGAGGATTTGTGGCGATATTCATGGTTCGAAACTTGGAATTTTCAGATTTTCTTCGTGTAAGGCACTCCTTCTGTCCTTTGGGCTGCAAATCAGCGCCATGAGTTCACTGAGTTTACTTTCTCAGGTCAATATTTTGACATGCTCGAGTTGTTCAACATCGGCGGACAAATTCCGGTACCTTGGCCGATGACGACAACGTCGTGGTCTTTACCAATATTTTCAGCTGAAACGCCCAGTTGGCCAGGAGAAAAACTACATTTTCATGGGCGATTTTGTTGATCGAGGCCAGAAAGAAACCTGTTTGGAGATGACCATCCACTTCCGAATGTGTTTGAAATTGCGGTATCCCTAAATTTCAATCGATAGAAATGATGATTAGCCGGTGGATGGATGGTTTTTTTTTCCAAAAAACATCAGACAGACTCCCCTCACTAGTCATGGCTGAATATGGGTGTGTCTGAAAGTGGTGTGCGTGTGTATATATATATATATATATATTATGTCCATAAAATGGTATAAAATGGTTAATTTAATAGGGACCATTAATATATTATTATTATTATTATTATTATCGTTATTATCATTATTATCATTATTATTATTATAAACCATGAAATGTTGACGAATCGGTAGCAGGATACAACAGCGTGGAGACCTTCGAACTCTTGATGCTGCTGAAGCTTCGATATCCGGTGGCTCGAAAGATCAGGGATTCGAGCATTTTATGTGGATAATTTCGACCTTTCATGGAGATTTTATGTGGATAATTGATGGGATACAATTAATATGATGAAAGGATGTTCAAGGGACATAACATCACTTTTGCATACGATGAATGGATGTGTATGGAACTCAAACAACAATATGTATATATATATAGGTTTTATTTGGGGGTTTAATCCAAAAACGTCTGGGATTTCATGGGATTTCCCAACCAACATCTGTTGGAACAAACCAACAGATATGATGAAGGCGTTCATCCAGAAATGGGAGAGAGGCCTCCAATTTCTGACAATCTGAATGTGGAACTGCGGAACATTTTGAAAAACCATGGAGTGGAAAACCATTGGGTGGAACAGGCTTCCAAATTTTCAGAAGCCTCGATGGACCGGCAAAATGTGAAAATCCATGGCTGGGATCATGAGCCGCAGCAAGGCTGGAATCACGCTTCTGCGGGGCAATCACGAGTCTCGGCAGATCACACAGGTGGCTGAGCTCAATGATTGGGTCATTGGGTGACCTGGGTGTTGGGATTTTGTGGACAGGGACGATCCGTGAAGTTGGCACATGGTTATGCAGTACTGGCAGTACTAGTTATATACTGTAATGTGGGTAAAGCAATAATAAACCATCCCCCAAATCACCATTTTTATAGGTGGTATAAGACATTCCCAAATGGATGGTTTATGATTGTTTTACCCATTATATTATGTATCCCAATATGTCATTAGCGGTTGCATGCCAGGTATGCACTGTGTAAATCCAAAGAAACCCGATCTTCAGACACCGTCCTGTCAAGGTTTCCCACTGGGACCGGCGGGTTTGGTTGAGCATCTGGCCATGAGGTCTATGGCTTCTATGATGAGTGCTTGCGGAAATATGGCAATGCCAATTCTTGGAAGTTCTCAGCTGAGAGATCTGAGATTTCTGGATTTGAGAGCGAATGAGCCAAATGCAATGGGAAATTCTCAATTCTCATTTTCAATGGGTGGGAAAATCATTTATAGGATGTTTCTTCTATGGCCTAATATTTTTTTTGGGACGACACCCATGAATAGACGCCAACGCAAAAAGGTACTGCACAGAGGTCTTTGACTACCTGACATTGACCGCCATCGCCTGGATCTTGGGCGCCATCTTGGGCATCCAGAGGGCATCCAGCTGCAGAGTTTTCGACATTGTCCGACCTGCCGGAATCTGCCGGAATCTGCCGGATTCAGGTAGAGAATTCGATTTTTTGTGTCCATGGCGGCCTCTCACCAGATGTCAGAAGCTGAAAGATACCAAAAAAAGGGCGCCAAATGAAATTTGGGGTGAATCTCACCAAAGATCTTTTGAAGCAACAAGCAAGTTCATATATACCTCCGTAAAGAATGGCTTGCACATTTGGAACATGTAGGAAATGGCAGTGTTGCAGCTTTACCAGAAAGGTGGGTACAATCTTTCAAAGCCGATGTCCGAAGGTGAAGGTGCTGGATCAGATCAGAACCATCAATCGAGTGCAGGATGGGAGAGATTACTTGAGTTACCTCTCCAAAATGTGTTGAAAGTAAGAACCAGGGGGAATGTTATCACCACTAGTGCTACAGTTGATTTGTGAAGGAGTGGATGTATTTTCTTTCATGTCGCAGTTGTGCAGACTTTCCACATCTGGATGGATGTGGTCGATTTTCAGGAGATTCCCCATGAGGGGGCCTTCGGTGACATTGTTTGGTCTGATCCAGAAGACATTGAATCCTGGGCTGCCAAAGCCTCAATGATCCGCCTGTGCCTGCAGGGATGCATGTTTGTTGAGTGAAGTTTCAACAGATGGTTGATCACAGAGTGAGATTTATACACGACTCACGTTAAGACCCAATAACGCAGCTTGTGGGCTCACAGCTGGGAAGTGCAAGTGGCTGCACCCTTGGTGGCTCAGACGCTGTGATAGGGGAGGGCACATCACACCAAGGGCGCGCCAACAATTTGAAGTTGTGCCCACCCCAGAATCAAAGTGGCTGGATTTAAGTCGCAGTGATGACTTGGCCGCCGAGTTCATTGAGTTCCTTTGGGAGGTTAGAGAACATTTTTTTTCGTTCTCTAACTTTATTTTTTGTCGGTAAGGATTTTTTTGGTTGGTTATTTTTTTCTTGTTTGTTATTTTTTAAAATTGCCATTTTCATCCTTTTGCTGGTTTTATCTGTAGTGTTGTGTTTTTTTCCTGGGGATTGCAAGTCTAAACAAAATCTAGAATCTAGAGCCCCTCACTCACACAGCAGAAGAATGAAAATAAGCTGGGCTGGTTCAGAAGTAATCTCAAGATTGTCAACTTGCATGAAACATGGTCGCAAGGGCTGTCTGTTGATGGCTGCATTATGTATGCTATCAAGATTCTAGACCCTTTTTTTGGCCCTGGAAGTTTCACTGCTGGGCGACTGGCCATGGAATCTGGAAGTGATTCTGGGTCCGAAGCACCTTCCTCCATACTTCTTCAGATGGTGAACGAAGAGGGCAACAATGAAACAGTTCATCAATTTTTTTCTTCTGAATCTGATTCATCAGAATCGGAATCAGAGTCGTCGAGTACAAGTGATTCAGGTGACAGACCCTTTAATGAGGAAGACACGTATGACTGCGAAGAGGAAACTGGCCGTGCGACTAGTTATGTTGAGAAGCAGGTGGGGGTGGGATGGGATGGGTCAGTGATCCGTGACAGTGGTGCGTTTATTCTTGCAACCCAAACTCAAGAAAGCAACATTTGGGAGCTGGGAGACCGCTACCACATCATGTCCCAATCCCACTGCTAGCCTGGTCAGGTGGCGGCAAAGAATTGGCCTTCTGGCCCAACTACCTTGGGAGGATTGTTCAAGTGGCACAAGTACAATGCTTGGCAACTCATGACCCAGTTGCCGCAGTCAGAGCGATTGCGGAAGAATTTCGAGAAGCTCTTGGAGTACGAAATCCATACGCACGATGCATACTCTGGCATGGGCGCTGGATCTTTTTCACTTCACTTGCAGTACAAGCACATGTCGAGTGATGGCCTTACTTCTTGTAAGTTTTCAAAAGTAGAGCTGAATGTGAACATCTTACCGTGATCTCTGGAGTCTCGATTAGTGATTTTTCTTCCCCCACGCCCCCACGCCCGCCACGCATTTTGATGCATGTGAAAAATATCCAGAGTTGTAGTCCCAGCTCAAGGCTGCATTTTTTTCATTCGCAACAGTCAACATCAAATGCCAATGAGGTGCTTGGCGAGAAGCGTCTGACCAGCCAACACGTGCTGCCGGAGGAGTAAAGTCCATCACATCCCGTGATGCAGATCCACACTGCAGAAAAGTTCTTGAGTCTCTCCATGAGGACCGTGGTCTCTGAGTTGTCATGCACCTATGTAGTTACACAATGTACATCCGAATCCATCCTGTGATTGTGAATCTACAAATTTTGAGGGTCCAGAATCCAAAGTCAGCCACATTATACAAAGTCATAGGCAACACCTTTCATACCTTCAATCAAGAGCCCACTGAACGCCGCTTCTGGAAGGACTTTCGTCCGATTCATATTGGGGGGAAGCTGGAGGACAGAAAAACAAAGCTGCTCTAGCCGATTGCCTTGCACTGAGAGAGGCAGCGCTGCAAAAGTTGGCGAAGGAACTGAAGACTGTTGAAGGTCGTTTGTCTGCAAAGTGTTTACATTTCACGTGTTTACATTTCACATGTCTGCCAATTCATTAGTTTCAACGTGTTTTGGGTGCATGAGCTGAGTCCGGCTGACCCGCCTTCGATGATGTCATATGGTTATTTAGTTTCTAGCTTAGGCGGAGAGAATGGCACGGCCGCGAAACAACTGCGCGCTGCAATTGGGGAGAAGCTGTTTGCGGATTACATGAATCGATTGAACCCTGACACCCACTCGGATGTTTTCAAGGGCACTTCGCGCTGTTATGCTTGCGCTGCTGGCAAGAAGACCAAGGACAGAATGAAGGGGAACCTGAACACTGAACTGAACCTGAACCTCTTGTTTTTTTCACTAAGTGTCGAGTCTCGAGTCTAAAGTGTGAAATGTCAAGGTATGTCAAGGTATGTCAAGGTATGATGCATGACCAATCCCTATCCTTGAGTCCCTGAGCCATCAAGGTTGGCATGATGGTCTGTGTGTGCGAGATATTTTGGCTTGAAATCTGGCGTCAGCAAGTCAGCAAGTAGAAGTATATAGAAAGAATCGAGCTAGTGTTGAGATTGAGTACATTTTGTACTTAGTATTTGTCCTAGCTTCATGGCCACTGTGGTGGACAATCTCAGGTACATCAGTTGCAGCACTACTTCAGTGCCATGTTATGATGCTGATCGAAACCCAACCCCACCGGAGATTGATCCACAAAGGGTCGAGGAGTATGTCAAGGATGTGCACGGAGAGTTCATTGGGTTGCTGATCGCTATGTCTCATATCGTCCTTCCTTTTTCTCACCTCTCATTTGTCATGGGGTTTGGCGGTGGCTTTATTGTTGGCTCATCCGTCACTGTTGACCCCCAACAGTATGAGAAGTTTCCTCTTGATTCTATGGATGTGGTCCATGACGCGATCGACTCTCTCATCTCGTTCATGAGGTATAAATTTGCAAGGATGGTGAGTGGGAATCAAAAAACTGCATCTTTGGAGCTTCGCATGGAGTTTGGACGATTTGGAGGGATGCACGTTCAGCGCAATGACAGGCTGATTGTTCACCCAGACGACGAACCCTTTGTGGATCGTCTTTTCCGCAGTGACTTCCGACCAACCTCTCCTTTGACTTCTTCTTCTTCTTCTTCTTCGGCATCTGGTGGTGTGAGTCCGGGTCGTTTGCCACAGCCTGTGCCAAATGTGGTCGCACAAGATGACTCATGTGGGCCAAGTGGTGAACAGATTTCATTTGCTCCAATTGATCGTGGATTGGACGTGGGCTGGCCTAAACCAGAGGCCTCTTATGCTCTGGTAGCCTTGCAATTTTTCCAGCCCCAGACCAAGCATCATGTGGTGTGGGCTTGGAAGCTGGCCAAAACCTGGAACCAGGTGGAGCTGCCAACGCGGTCCACTCCCTTTAGCCCTGAGATTTTGTTGGGCATGGCCGGCCAAGCTTTAAAGTGGAAACAATTTCGTTTTCGATGCTTGCTGGTGTTGGGTTTCGCAGGAAACTCCGCACATCAGAGTTGGTGCAGCTCAAGCGGAAGGAGGTGGCCTTGCCACAGGCCAACTCCCTGCAAGAGGCAGTGCTCCTACTGGACAGCAGCAAAGGAACCAAACGGAATTTGCTTCCTATAAACAAAATTGTACTGGACGAGAAACTTGCGTTACAGGCGCTCCGATTTCTCTGCCAAGGCCTGAAGCCAGGTGAGACCCTCTCTCAAGTCACCAATCTTCAGTTTCGTACCCTGTTTAAAGATTTGCTGGCTGCCCTTCACCTCGAGCAGCTGGGGTATATGCCGTACAGTCTGAGACGTGGTGGGGTGGCTGCTGCTTACAAACAAGGCACTAGCCTGACTAGCCTAGATGTTTTGGTGATTCAAGGGCGGTGGCAGCACTTGCCAACTGCCTGCATCTACGTCGATGCCGGGCTCCAATCCATGGCGCAAATCACCCACCCGCCCAGGGCCCTTGCTTTGTGCGCGCAAATGGCCACCCATTTTAAAACTGCGAGCCAGAAAGGGACGCGTGGAATGAGGAACATGTCTTAGCTGGTCAGCAATCTGTGGACTCCTGGGGAGGGGCAGTTTCGAACCCTGACGAGGGCTGCTGAAGGCTAAAAGCCTTTTTACAGTAGCCTATGCAGGACATGAGCCTCGTGCCTTGACAGAAGGCACGGGTTGTCAGCGACAAAAAGACCGTGCCTGGAAGTGCTTGGGCCGTGGGAGTGCGGAGTGTATGGTTGATCACAGAGTGAGACTTATACACGGTTCACGTTAAGACCCAATAACGCAGCTTGTCGGCTCCCACCACGTCCCCTGGCTTCCTCCAAGAATGAGGACCATGTCTTAGCTGGTCAGCGAGCTGTGGACTCCTAAGGAGGGGCAGTTTCGAACACTGACGAGGGCTGCTGAAGGCTAAAAGCCTTTTTTACAGTAGCCTATGCAGGACATGAGCCTCTTGCCTTGACAGATGGCACGGGTTGTCAGCGACAAAAAGACCATGCCTGGAGGTGCTTGGGTCGTGAGAGTGAGGAGTCTATATATACACATATACTACACACATCTATATACGTGTATATACTGTGTACATTTTTCGATTTGCCTTCAGAGTGCTAGTGTGAACGTAACTCCTCTAAAGCCTTTCCTAAACCTTTCTGAAACAAACCTTTCCTCACAGTTGCCCCAGGCCAGTCCTAGGGGTGCTGGATGGCTCTTTGGCGAGAGACCCACACAGCATTTCAACCGCAGCAACCTCGGGGCTGATGTCGAGCAGAATAGATTTAGAGTTTGGATGGATTTGAAACTGTTTGTTGGTTTGTTTGTTTGTTGGTTTGTTTGTTTGTTTGTTTGTTTGTTGGTTTGTTGGTTTGTTGGTTTGTTGGTTTGTTGGTTTGTTGGTTTGTTTGGTTTGTTTGGTTTGTTGGTTTGTTGGTTTGTTTGGTTTGTTTGGTTTGTTTGGTTTGTTGGTTTGTTGGTTTGTTGGTTTGTTGGTTTGTTTGTTTGTTTGTTTGTTTGTTGGTTTGTTGGTTTGTTGGTTTGTTGGTTTGTTGGTTTGTTGGTTTGTTGGTTTGTTGGTTTGTTGGTTTGTTTGGTTTGTTTGGTTTGTTTGGTTTGGTTTGTTGGTTTGTTGGTTTGTTGGTTTGTTGGTTTGTTGGTTTGTTGGTTTGTTGGTTTGTTGGTTTGTTTGGTTTGTTTGGTTTGTTTGGTTTGTTTGGTTTGTTTGGTTTGTTTGGTTTGTTGGTTTGTTGGTTTGTTGGTTTGTTGGTTTGTTTGGTTTGTTGGTTTGTTGGTTTGTTGGTTTGTTGGTTTGTTTGTTTGTTTGTTTGTTTGTTTCTTGTGTCCTGGACTTCTCAAGGTAGGTGAGTTGTGACTCTGCAAATGCTTGCGGTTGACCACCTCCCATGTCCCAGATTGCCATCATTTTGAGGCCTAAATGGACTGGACTTGATTGCAAGAGCCCACCAACTGGTGCAGGAAGGCTACAAGTGCCCCTCTTTGGCTGTTCTCACGGAACTTGACCAACAACAATGATTCCATCCTTTTTCATTTTTTCCCGTGATCCCAGGTACATGTTTGCTGATCCTTTATCTCCCGATGACAAAACCGGTTTGCTGGTCACAGTTTGGCCTTCACCTCGGAGACTTTGCATGGCACTGGGCAGCCTTGGCAACCACGGGTATCAAGGTCAGCGCCAAACTATTGCTACCGCTGTGGCAATGTGAGGGACCCAGGTGAACTCAGGTGACCCCAGGTGATCCCAGGTGACCCCAGGTGACCCCAGGTGACCCAGGAATTTGCCGGGGATGGATCAATTTAAACCTATGAGATACCACATTTGTGGATGAAGATCCATAAATCGTAGCTATTTTTGGTGTGAGCACGAGGGTATCCAGGTTTTGACTACGCCAATGTGCAAAACGCCTTGTGTCTCTGGCGCCCTGTGCCATTGAGGTGGCTTCCATCCTGGACATTGATGAACGCGGTGAGCGGGAGTGACTTTGGCGGAGATTTCAACCTGCCAAAAACAGTTGGCAACCGACTTCGGCGTTCGCCTACAAGACTTGCACATTTCGGAAACCAACAACATTTTCCACAGCGGGGCTTTGAGTCCTGAATTTTTTGGGTGAAATGAAACCGGGCCTAGTTCCAGCCAGTCTTACAACATGTTCCAACTATCCTTCCAGCCATTCTTCCAGTCTTCCTGGCTGCCAGGTTCCGAATTTTCCAGGAAGTCCCCGCCTCTGCTGCTGCCGTGCCGCCACGTCAGCTGGTGCCGTACTTCCTTTGAGCACGCATATGAAGGGATGCCAAGGGATGCAATCTATGGCTGTTATGGGACAAAATGATTGAACCCCCTTCCCACACAGTGGCTGGTTTTGAGTTGTTTAGTTTAATAACAAAGACAATGGATAGGATTTTTCAGGAAAGGAAAAGTACCTGACCAAAATTGACACCTGGCGAAGTGGCTTGGGCAAGCGCTAATGTGCCTCTTGTTTCCTGTGAGCTGAGACTGCGGGAGATCAAAATACCATAGTTACATAGTTGCGGTTTTGGCAATTCAAAGTAGGATTGTCACCCTGCAGTGATGGGCCATGCCTTACCAGCGGTTTATTTGGGTTGAAGAATGACAGTACCCAGCACCATATAATTAGGGAAAACAGGAGTGTTCTGGAAATAGCATGTGTTGGAACCCTATTAACAACTGGCAGCGGCCGATCATCGTGGGTCCTTGCAGGGCACAGATTCCTGCTTGTTGTGAGGAGCAATCACAAATGTCACAGGCCGCAGCGTAACGCAAAAAGGTGGGACATCTGTGCAGCGGACCCTGAATGGATAGAAATGAACATCCCCACACATTCAGTTGGAATATGTTGGAATTCACATTTCAAGTTCTTGGGCAGCACAACCACTATGGAGTGGCACTTTCACGCTGAGCTCCTCCCGTTACGTTGGTTCGAGTGGAGATTTGGCCGAGCGCTTTGAGCCAAAGGCCTGTTGGATTCGGGGCAGATTCACATGCCTCAAGAGTTCCAGGGGATCCATGGATAAACAAAGAGACATGGGTTTTGGCCGAGCGCTTTGAGCCAAAGGCCTGTTGGATTCGGGGCAGATTCACATGCCTCAAGAGTTCCAGGGGATCCATGGATAAACAAAGAGACATGGGTTTTATGTTTTTTTTTTTTAATGGCATTTTATGGCATTTTATGACCAGAATTTGGAGGGTGTTAAAGAATATTTTAGTTTTTTTTTGGATATTTCAGGGCATGTGTTGAATGTTGAAAGAGCAGTCCAATGTGACATTTAGTGGACATACGTGATTTCCTATACCGAAAAGATATTTCTGTTTGGATCACCCCCCCGGTGCCTTGATTTTCGTTCAGCGATCCCGTCGTGAAATTCACAGGCCTTGGCGATGGGTGAAGAGGATTCACAGGAGGCGTCCGGCACCTCAGGAAGAACGCTGAAAGTTATTGAACCCCCAAATTTCTGGAGGATGTGGATCAACAAACATGGCTTTTGGGGGATACTATATGTGTATATAAATATATATATATATGTATATATATATATATATGTATATATATATAAACAAATCAAAAAATATATATACATACGGCAACTAACTGGGCTTTGCCCCGAACCGCAACGACGACGGGCAACGCATCATCATCATCATCATCATCATCATCGTCATCACCATCATCATCACCATCCATCATCATCATCATCATCATCATCATCAATTGAATGCAAGTTTTTTAATATTCTCTAATACTTTTGTTGATCTTCCCAATTGAATGTAGAGCTTAACCGGGGTGGGATTCTAATATTCCCTAATACCTTGGTTGATCTTCCCAATGGAATGTAAAGTTTAACGGGGGTGGGATTTTAATATTCCCTAATACCTTTGCTGATCTTCCCAATTGAATGTAGAGTTGAAGGGGGGTGGGATTTTGATATTCCCTAGTAGCTTTGTTGATCTTCCCAATTGAATGTAGAGTTTAACCGGGGTGGGATTTTTAATATACCCTAATACCTTGGTTGATCTTCCCAATGGAATGTAAAGTTAAACAGCGGTGGGATTTTGGTATTCCCTAGTACTGTTGCTGATCTTCCCAATTGAATGTAAAGTTGCAGCAACATTTGATTGGGAATGGGAACCCTCTACGCTGCAACGCTGGGGCAAAGCCCGGGTGTTGTGTGTATATAAAATATAACATATAATATTTAAAAGATAATACATAGTATATAATATATGTTTTTTTTTTCAAATACAATAGATCATAGATAATAGATATTATATATATATTCTAGATACTATATATACATATATAATAAATATTCTATATATATACATAAAAAGATAGATATGATACATATTATACACGTTATAAATATTACATGTGTATATAACAAATAATATATTATATATTCTATTTTTTTTATTACATATTATATACTGTATATTTTATATTAGATATAATTTACGATACATTATATTTTATGTATTTGATGTTAAATGTATATTTATTATATGTATTTATTGTTATATTTATGTATTATATATATACTATATTATCCCTATTTAAAATATCATTTATATATATATTATGTATATATTATGTATATATTGTATACTGTATATATATATTGTAAATTATATATATAATAAATATTTTAAATATTCTTTAATATTTGGTATATACTATATATATATGTTTTTTCAATATTTTACATACTATATATATGTATATCTAAATTGTATTTGTAAGTTATATATATATAATATTTTATATATGTTTTACTTCATATTTTATACATAATCAATAACAAGGATTATATTTATATATTTAATATATATATATATGTATATATTATATTTAAATTATTTTATATTTTTATTCATTTTATTTTTAATTTATATTATATATTATATGTTATTATTGTAAAGTATTATATATATTGTATATGTATATATATATTGAATATTATATATTTCATATTATATATTTATTTTACTTTATATTATATATTATATGTTATTATTTTAAAGTATTATATATATTAAATATATTTTATATATTTCATATATTATATATTGTATTTTTTTTTTAAAACATATACTTTATATATTATATATATTTATATTTTTTTTTATATTTTTTTAATATATTGTACGTATAATATATATATATATATTATACCTTATAGTTTATATATTATATAATATATATATATATAATATGATATATATATATATATATTATACATACTATGTTATATATATATTAGAAAACATATAAAATATACTATATATTATAATATATATATATATATATTATATTATATTATTTAAATATCTATACATAAGATTATATATATTATATGTATAGATAGTTATGACATAGATACAAGATGTATACACATAATATTAGTTAACATAATTTATCCAAAATGCAGTGGATATGGAAAAAATCCTGCCATCGAATGAGTCCAAGACGCCAAGGCTGCGACCTTTCATCGAAGCTGAAAGGGAGTTTGTACAGCTGCAGGCTGGCTGCTGTTCACTCGCGTAGCCTTTTAAACTCGAAAATGGAAACAAATTGGATCATTTGAAGTCATTGAACCTCTGGATTCTTGCTGGATCATGCGCATGCTTATAGCCTGTTGGCTAGAAAGCAGTCACTTTTTATTTAATATGTTCAGTTCTCCTTTTCTGTCCAACATCCTGTTTTGTTGGACATACCACCACAATAAGAAACATGGAAGAAACACTTGGACATCCATGCAACATATTCAAACATCCGTAACATCCATTTCACAAACGACAGGCCGCCGGGGACCATGATGGCGCAGTGCGATGCCTCGAGGGTGTGCTCCGAGCGGAACAGGTGGAATCGAAGTGCTGCGAAGTGGTACCGTGGGGGTAGATCCAAGAAATTCTTGGTAGATACTGTTGGTTTAGAGTATAGTAATCCCCAAACCGGTAAACAATTGGTTGATGATCACGATTTTTAATAGGATTTTACTTGTCTATTTTTTTGGGGGGTTACTGTAGTCAACTATGCAGATTGACATGGGGGACATATCCAATGAAAATAATTGGATTGTTGGCAATTGTACCAATGTTACTTATTATATCATAGGATTATCGGCAATTATTAAGGGAGTTGTGCCCATGAATACTATGGGATTGTCAAAAATTGTCACTGATTACGGGTGAATTGTGAAAGAATTGTTGAATACTCTTCAAGTCACAACTGTGGTTACAACAACTGGGGCTATCAATGGATGGTATGGGAATTCACCATCAAATGCATGGCTAATGAGTATATGAATGGATATGAATATGACCCAGGCATGGCTTATCCAAGCCATTGATGCATTGATGCCAGTGAATTCAACGATGACAATGGGGCACGGATGGGGATATTGATGGCATCCAAGTAACAGCTCGACCCAGTGGATGGAGATGGGGGTATCTCTAAGGCAGGTCGGGATGTGAGGAACAATGGCAGAGATGAACCGGCAAGAAGTCATGAATATATGGGGATTGTATAACCAACAACACAAAAGGAATCTGCTTCCGCAGCAGGGTCCTATTCATTGTGATCTGTCTGCTGACTCGAACATATATTCACAAGACTGGTCGAGTCATGACCATATCAGTACGGGTCAAACATTGGGCTCCCCCAAAATGGGATTGCCGGCTTCCTACAAACGACCAGTCTATTTGTGGCTCTTAGCGACTGAAATTGCAGCCCATGACAGCTGCTTCTCCATCTATTTGGGGGACTCAGAGGACCAGGATTGACAAACTTTTCACGAACTGTCAGGCCACTGTGCAGCAGATGCCAGATACGTTGCTGTCCACGCTGTTCGAGCGGTTGGCGATAGGCGCTGGGATGAAGATTGCTGGAAGTTGCTGGAAGTGGATGATATCATACTAAACTTGGACAAGACCTGTAGGTTGGAGGGTGTTGCATCTTGATGCGTAGCCGAACTATTGGAAATAGACTGAAAAAAACGGTATGGATGAATTTGGAAGCAGATGGTCGAATCATGTCGACTCTTTCAGAGGGACAGTGAAAATGCAAGAGAACTATTTTGAATTCCTGTGAGGCTACAACACTCTGGGCATGAAGCATTTGAAGGACAGAGTCAACGAGAAACGTGTGTGGAGCGGTTCACTGGGTCTTTTTGAATGAGTCTTTTTGAATATGAAGGGATGAATCAAAATTGGGTACACCAGAGATAAGATAAGCACTGAAAACGACTCCACAGTTTCTAGTTGGGGAGTCGAGCACAACTGGGGAGTTGAGCATCCGACGTCGGGATTTCACCACAGAACAAATTGGGACATCATCATATATAGTATATGTATAGTATATATATGTATATATATATATGTATATATATATATGTATATATATATATATATGTATATGTATATATATATATATATGTATATATATATGTATATATATATATGTATATATACATATATGTATATATATATATATATCATCGACATGTTGATTTCACCACCCCAAAATGAGGATTTTGCCAGGACAATAACACCGAAGTCTCTTGCAAGTTCTTTGAGAAGGCGGAAGCCCTCACAGACCCTGCAAATCTGTCCAGACCTGAGCAGAGCCAGGTTGGTGAAGCACTGGACGCTGGGAATTCTACCTTCAACCAGTGGATTAGATGGATTTGTCTGAAAATAGGGTATATTCCCAATTATAGCCATTTAATAGGGATAATGATCATTAACCAGTGGGTTTAGGGGTACACTATTTTCAGACACACCCAGATGATTCGTGGTTCATATGGTACAGAGACCTGGAAGACAGATGAAATCTGAGGCATATGAATCCTGAGTCTCGCCTGGTCTTGAGAGCGGTGCCAGCCTCACAGTGAGATGAAGACCGCGGTTGCAAGCTGCGAAAGCGGTTGCCACGTGGCTTTTTCTGAACAGGTGACGTACAACAACATGGGATGCTTCTACAAGAGCTTTGGGAAGCCACTTGGCGAAATGGATCTGAGAGTAATACTGAGTTACAGAATTATATAGTAGTCCCAGGGTGCCTCCCAGAGGTTTATCATGTCACCAACTCTTTAGGGTTTGTTTAGGGTGTGTTTATCATGTTTATGTAGGGTTTGTTTGGGGTTTATCGGGGTTTCATTTAGCGTTTTAAGCTTTATTTTTTTCATTTTTATTTTTACCACTGTTTTAATGAGGTTTTATTTTCACGGCTTACTTGGGGTTTCATGTCATATTTAGGCTTTAGGGTTTTGTGTTCTGGAAACAAAATCTCGTCAGGCATTTAGCCATTCCGCCGACATCCCAAAATGCATAAAACACTGGCCCTGCGCAGTCAAAACGTTCCCGTCCTGGTAATAGTAGAGAGCTGGCCGCTGTGGGAGTGCACTTTTTTCCATGCAGTCATTACATTAATCATTATATTAGTCATTATATTAGTCATTATATAAGTCATTAAATAAATCATTATATGAATCATTATATGAATCATTATATGAATCATTCTATGAATCATTATATTAATCATCAAATGAATCATAAAATGAATCATCATTATATCAGTCATTAAATAATTCATTAATTTAATCATTTTATTAATCATTATATTAGTCATTATATATATATATCATTAAATTAATCATTATATTAGTCAATAAATTAACAAGTATATCAGCCATTACAAACATCATTATATTTATCATTATCTTAGTCATTATAAAAGTCATTAAATAAATCATGAAAGGAATCACTATATTTATCATTCTATGAATCATTATATTAATCATTATATGAATTATATTAGTCATTGCATTAGGCATTATATGAACCATTACATTAATCATTATATGAATCATGATAATAATCATGATATTAATCATTAAATTCTTCATTTTAATAATCATTAAATTAATCATTATATAAATCATTATATTCATCATGATATTGATCATTTTATTTATCATTTTATTAATCATTATTTTAGTCATTATATGAATTACTATTTTAATCATTATATTAATCAGTATATTAATCATTATATCAATCATTATACTAATCATTTTAACATTCATTATATTAGCCATTGTATTTATCATTATATTAGTCATTAAATTAATAATTATATTAATCATTATATTAATCATTTTATTAATCATTACATTACTCATTACATTACTCATTATATATAAACTCATTAAACTAGCCAGTATTTTACTCATGATATTATAATCATTGTATTCATCATAATAGTAATCATTATATTAATCATTCTTAAAATATAATCATGATACTAGTCATTATAAAAGTCATTAAATGAATCATGAAAAGAATAATTATATTTATCATTAAATGAATCATTATATTAATCATTTTATTAATCATTATATGAATCATGATATTAATCATTAAATTAGTCAATAAATTAACAAGTATATCAGCCATTACAAAAATCATTATATTTATCATTATCTTAGTCATTATAAAAGTCATTAAATAAATCATGAAAGGAATCACTATATTTATCATTATATGAATCATTATATTAATCATTATATGAATTATATTAGTCATTGCATTAGGCATTATATGAACCATTACATTAATCATTATATGAATCATGATAATAATCATGATATTAATCATTAAATTCTTCATTTTAATAATCATTAAATTAATCATTATATAAATCATTATATTCATCATGATATTGATCATTTTATTTATCATTTTATTAATCATTATATTAATCATTATATTAATCATTTTATTAGTCATTATATTCTTGAAAAAATAAGTCATTACATTAATCATTATATTAGTCATTATATAAGTCATTAATGAATTTTGGTTTTTCCATGGTTTTTTTTTGCAGTTTGGCCTGGGGGGCGCAGGTGTGCAAATTGTAGAGACGCGCATTTTTTTGAGAGGTACTGTGATGAAAGCATCTTCACATGAAAAACATTCAAAACAACAATGGAAAAAAAAAAAAGTTCAGACCCATGGGCAAGGTCTGGGAGAGGCCTGGCAGGGGACATGGGTCTGAACTTTTTGTTTTCTTGGTTTTTCCATGGTTTTTTGCAGTTTGGCCAAAAACCTCGAGAACACAAAAAGAAAAGTTCAGACCCATGGGCAAGGTCTGGGCTATCCACACACAAACCAAAAAAACAAAAAAACAAAAAACCAAAAAACCAAAAAACCAAGAAACCAAAAAACCAAAAAACCAAAAAAAACAAAAAAACAAAAAAACCAAGATTGCACACCCCAAGGGGAGGGGGTCAGATGCAGAGTGTTGGGTCTTGTCTTTTTGTTTTTTTTGTTTTTTTTGGTTTTTTGGTTTTTTGTTTTTTTGGTTTTTTGGTTTGTGTGTGGATAGCCATTGCAGATGTGCCAAGCAGAAATTGCCAGGCACTGTCAGTGGTTGCACTAGAGGTCGGGCAGGCAAAAACCAAAAAACCAAAAAAACAAAAAACCAAGAAACCAAAAAACCAAAAAAACAAAAAAC